CCCCCTCCTTCCCGAGTGTTGTCAGTTTAATCAGTCATCCGAGTCTTTAGCCGCAAAAAAATCAAACACACACCCCTTCTGCTCGTTGAAGACGGATGATAAATAGCTCAGTCTCACGTCGCGCGACTCTTGGATGTTCCTCTTCGTGTTGTACAGCCAATCGCGGCGCAAAAGCCGACGGGGTTACATTGGAACGCCGAACTGCGGCGGCAGGCAACCGCCAACGCCCGCGAGCGCAACAAGATGGAGGCGGAGATGGAGGCTGGCTCTGCTCGGTGCACCCCGCTCCCGCCCAAGGTAAGACGGGGGTGCCGCTTTCTCCGCCGGTGTTGCTCACTCCATGGCAAAGCTGTAGTGATGTAGATCAACTGGGCACAGCAGCGTAGTTCCCTTGCCGCCATGTTTGAGTTCTGCTCTCAGACTCCTGATGACGCAAGCTGTGCTATTTTCTTTGCTTTAGTTTGGTCTGTCGAGCCGCGGAGACCCAGCAGCGTAGTAGCTTTGCTCATCATGTTTCTGACTGCTGGTCCCCGCCCCCCTTCCCACCCCGTTTTTTGCCTGGCGATCAGGCGGGGACCCCCGAGGAGAAGAGGATGCGGCAGGAGTCGGCAGCGGCCGCAGCGATCGAGGCGGCGGCAGCAAGCTCTCGCGGCCCCGAAGCCGCGGCGGCCAATATGGCGCTCAACTCCCGGGAGATGTGAGTTCGGTCCAAGGTTAAGGTTCATTAGACTGAGCGATGCCCGGCAAGTGGCACAGGGGCAGCATGTCAAACAACAGGGCGCATTGCCGAGGGATGGATGTGGGGCTTGTCGTATATTGTGTGTCCAGATGCAACCCCCCCTCCCCACGCGACCTTGTAGGTTGTACGCAAAGGTGTGCGCGCATGTAACGGGCTCTATTCTATGCGCCTCTCCTCTTGTCTCTTTACCCCCCCCCCCCCCCCCCCCCCCCCCCCCCCCCCCCCCCCCCCCCCCCCCCCCCCCCCCCCCCCCCCCCCCCCCCCCCCC